CCAATTGGTGTTGGTGCCATTTTCGTCGCCATCCTAGCTCGCGCTGAGTTGCAATGGGAGACGCCAGTACCGCTCTCCGATACCCCACCGGAGGATATTGAACACAGAACACTCGTTGCGGTCATTTGGCCCATCGTCACATTCCTGGTCATCTCGTCCATAATTGTGCACGGCTCATCCGTCGCCGTCTTCACACTCGGCAAGCGCATCAATACCTTGACAATCACCATGTCCTACACCACCGCCCCCGAAGACGGTCCTACATGGATGAACCGTCTGCCGAGAATCTCGTCGCAGTCTCGATCGCAAGCCCGAACCATGTCCGACACCGAAGGAGAGGAACTCAAGATGCCCGAGTTCCCACCCGGTACTCTGCCTCCGGTGGGCTTCCCTGGCGCTTTCTTGCGGCGTCAGAAAGACGAAGACGGCACTAAATCTCGCGCGCGATCAACTTCACGGAAACGCAGCAGCAAGAAGAACAAGTGGGACGATGGTATCGGACCCGGCGGACCTGTTTCGCAGTCTGCCATCTTCCCCACTAAACGCGAGCCGCTCCTCAACGAAAAGGATCCCCAATCACCCGACGCCGAAGGCACTACGACCCCTAGGCGCGATTCTGAAAGAGGTCGCGCGAGGGACCCGGAGAAGTACGATGACGAAATCACACCATCCCCCGATGAGGGATCCAGCCGGACCGAGACGCCACCCAAGATCTCGATCTACGAGGAAGGAGATAACTTGGTGGTCGAGAACGAGGACGGTGATGTGTTGACTGTTGAACACTCGCAAAGTAGAGCAGAGGCGGTTGCGGAGGCTGAAGCTCATCACCGGGTACCAGTCGAAACCGACATGTCGGCTATTGCGGCTGCCCATTCAAAGCAAGGCGAAAAGTTCAACTGGACCCTAGACTCTTTCAAGCGGAAAGTCGGAGACGTGTACACGTCCGAAGTGGAGAAGCGCAAGGAAAAGAGCAAGTCCGACAGACGGCATGAGCCAGCTCGAGCCTTCCAGTTCGGCAATACCGTAAGCTTCCCGAGATTGACAATGGACGAGAAAAGATACTAACAAGTGGACAGATCATTGTTGAAGATGAGGATGGTGAAGTTATCAAGACTTACGAGCTGCCGTCGTCAAAGGCTCCCAAGGAACCCGGCACAGGCCTCACTCAGCAAAGTCTTAAGTATCTTGGCATGGGAGGTCTTCTGAAGGCATCAGAGAAACCTGCGGCTGAAACCCCAAACCATGGAGAGTCGAGCGCCGACGGCGCTGCAAAGACACCTGCCAAGTCAGGATGGCAGAAATACCTGGGCGGAGGCACTGGTGGCGCGAAGAACACTGCTGAAGGTCAAAATGAGGATGACCGACACATTAGATTTACGATTGGTGGAGTCGGCCAGCGCATGACAAAGGAAGACTTCATTCGTGAAGTGCAGCAGCTTGATGACAAGACTCGGCGACAGGTTGTGGACCAGTCCACTGCTTCCCAGCGCGTAAAGTCAATCGCAAAGGGAGACATCCCCTCGCCAGCTGACAGATATGCAAACATCCCGACCATCAAGATTGGCAGTGATTCTAATGAGAAACGCTCCGGCTCGTTCACGCCTCAGCGGGTGAACACAGCACCAGCCTTGCCACCGGCGCCCGCACAGCAGGCAGATGCCGAGGGTGATGAGGAGACGGCTGCTGAAAAGAAGCGCAGGCTGGCGGTTTTATCGAACCAGAGCGACGAGGATTTAGACAGCGGGGAGACGCCTGCCGAGAGACGCCGTAGGGAGGCTGCGCTCGGCTCGAATCAGGATGATGATTCGGACGACGAAGGTGGAGAGAGAGTCCCGCCGAGGAGAGGCATCCGATTTGCAGAGAGCACGGTGCCGAGAGGACGAAAGTAGAGAGAGAGGGTGGTGAGTATGGGCATAGACTGTGAAGAAGCATAGCATTTGCATTGGGGTGGTTATATGCATCATGACAGCGATACCTGCATGGGTTTTGACATGCTCGAATGGAACCGAGCAAAAGAGATGTCTCACTGAACGGCCGAGTTTTGTGGTAATTGTATTGTCTATTCTATGCACATACTTGAGGGGAATGAATAAGGCCTTTCTGTAGATTCAATTTCATCTCTTATTAAACATCGTGTGTCGACAATCAGTGAAAGATGCTGAAGAGGAGACCACTGGCTCACTTGACATCGGCCTTCTAGACATTTGGCCAGTATCATGGTGCCAGGACCTCGATGTCAGATCAGCCGAAATATCAGACCAGGAAACTCCGTGATAATGTGACGAGGCTGCGATGAACCCAATCCGACTTTTGAAATCCGAGGCGCAAGCACTGACGTCATATCCCCGGAGTAAGGGCCGAAAACTCACTCGTCCCGGGGGCCGTGGTCGTCTGCCGAAGTGGGACAGGGCGCAGTCGGAGGTGACGAGGTTGGTGGGGCCCGAGACGAACGCTCCGTTGGTGGGGGTGGGGGAGAGGGCTCTCTGTACTCAAGTCCGTGGATTCGTGGTGAATTTTGGTGCTGACAAGGATCAAACAGCTCCGAGTCACCTTCGTCATCGACGGTGGGAGTTTCCCTTAGAACCATTTGTGCCTTCGTAATCAGAAGAGTAATTAAATAGTCCAGTGGCTTAGGGGCAAGTTTTCTAGGTTTGTCTGATTTTGATTGTCGTGACTTGTTATTGTGACGAAGACGTGACGAACGAGCGAGAATTAGAAACACTCCATAGCGTATGTAGCTATCTTTGAGTTTACCTACTTATGACTGTCGTGAACCACCATGTGAACGAATACGTGACGAAAGAACGACGATGAAAACTACTCTATAGTGTGCGTCCTTTGTAGGTTTGTCTATCTTGTGTCTTGCTCTTTCTAAGTGTGGCATGGGAGGTTGATCCTACAAAGAAGGACGCCCTGCATGACAATCTTCACCGCACCTAATCAATTGGGCTGTGCTCCTAGGTTTAGATCTCCAACTCAATGCAATCGAGCCTTTTGTATAGGTACAATGATGCTGGATCTCATTGTCGTAGCTCTTCCTGCCAAGTCCGCTACGTGCATGAGGACCCAGTCTCTATTTGATCCATGGGTGCTCTATCTGCTTAATCAAACAGTAAGCGAAAATTGTAGGTGAAGCTGGACACCCACCAGTGTGGAGCTAATGACGATACGGTTGATGCTATCTATGTAGGAGAACTGGATGTTGTGGCGTCAACCATTGTGCTGCCGGAGCCGGAAGTGAGCTGCTCAAAGCTTCGTATCTCTGTTGAGAAAGACAGTTGAAGTTGAGTCTTTTCATTTTCCCCGTCTATGTATATACCTCTTGCTTAAATTTATATTTCTGCTCTTGGCTCGCGTTTTGTTGAACTTCATCCGCGACTGGTTCGACAGCTTGGATAGTCAGTCTAGTCCCTGTTTGATCGGTCATTCGGAAATTAGAGTGAGGTTCCTCCCGTAAGTTTGATCATTACCACCAGAGTCTCTCTGATAGCGGATAATGAGATTTTACGCAATTGAGTAAGTGCTGAGCAAATGATCACAGCGGCCTAAGCTAGTCCAAGCTCTACACAACCCCGTCATCCTCTTGCTCATGTTGTCGCACACCTCCGACAGCGGGAGGGAGCTGCGGCAACGCAGCGTTGAATGAAAGTTTGTGAAGACCGCCGCCTTTGGCAGGGGACGGATTGAGCAGGGTGGCGGGTGTATCATGAGCAACATGATTGATGGGTGTAGCGTAAAGGCTTCGGAAGTTGACGAGTGAGAAGTTATGGGAGCGGTAGGATATTGTAGGCGACTGCGTAACCGGGTCGTCCTTCTATTCTACTACGTCGCCTAACGATTATTCTAAAGCTAATATACGCTAGAAAGGAAGGGGAAAAGCCAATCTATTATGCTGTTCTATTGTGTTGAGGGCTCTGCGCTATACTAAAGGCTTGCTGTGCTCACACGGCGTTTCGTGCTCCTATCTCGAGTACCACCTTCAGATGTTTCTGCGCTCTTCTCTTGCTGGTGGCTGTGGTGCCCAGGTCGGCTTGCCTCGCTAAGAGGACCTCTGGATGGCTCTAATATCTGGCTCAAATAGGGCTTCCTGCGTACGACGGCTCAGAGTGTGAGTAACGTGGATACAAGAGTCGGGGCTTTCTTGGGAACACTAGTGTTGCCACCCGATACGGAGCTTGTATTCTGACGCTTGGAGGCCGTAGCCTTCTTGGCCGCCGTCGTCGTAAGCGCGTTGTCGACCGTAGGGCTGGCGGCAGCATTGGCTAGAGCGGCTCGAGTTTGTTCGGCCGGAGAGGGCTCGTCATTGTAAGCAGCTTCCTTTTTGGGGAATTTGCGTTACTAATGGGGTGATCTGCAAAGAGCCAGATGTCTCAAGGCTTGAAACGAATCTAGAATTTTGCGAAGATTGGTCTTGATATTGCTAAAATCTAGTCTGTTCATCATATTTCGATCTAACGTAGCCTGGATACTACCTCTCGAGTTGCAAGCTCCAATCTTCATCAGTATTCGATATACGTCTGATGAAACGAAGCTTTCAATGAAATATGAGTCGACGGCAGTCGCCGAGCCTCTCCATAACAGTATCAGCAATGACTAGCTATGAGTTGCAAACACTCTCCAAACCTGGGTAGGTATCTAACAGCGCACCAACAACTTGACGATGCGACGGCAAACCAAGGCAGTCTCAGGCTTCCGTGACACCGACAAACCAACCTCCCAGCTCCCGGCCGAAACGATCCATGAAATGCTGGCAAAGTCTGCTAATCACCACGAACGTAACTATAAAATATCATTGATTCATGAGAGTCCTTCCTAGCTGTGAATCACGGTCATCGCTCTCCTCAGACATCCTGATTTAAAAGAAGATTCAGATATCTACCTACTCCAATATCCAGCCCTCCCATAATGCAGCATCACGATTCTGACCAAGTTCCTGGATACTTCAACGAAGCCTAACTCTCTTTTCAACTTCATCAAATCAACCCCTAGAACGAGCGAAGATGTATGCTCACCGCCGCAACCGCCACCCTCAGCTCTCGTCTCCTGTTGGCGACTCATACCCTCCATCGCAGAGCTCATCCTTCTTTAGCAACATGCCTGATCCTCAAAACTCCCACTATGAGGAACGGCAGACATTCGGAGATCCTCAACGTGACTACCTGGGCTACGCAGCGCCAAGATACGACAGAGACAACGACGGTGACGACCATAGTCCTAACGCTACGCAGTCACACACCCACTGGCCTCCCAGCCCCTTGTACTGGGAGACCACACAAGCTGCCCGTCTCCCAGCCCACTATCTACCCTCTCCATGGAGAGATGTTCGAAGGGCTGCACTTCGTCGTGAAAGAGAAGAAAGAATGGATACACCATTCGAGATTCTTCCAAGCATCGAGAACGACGAACGCTTCCCTCGGATCGTCCCGGACTCCCAGTGGGCAAGTGACTCGTCCTGGACGTCTCCACCAACTCCCGCATCCGAAACTTTCACCTCACGATCCCCTTCCTTCAGCGACGACTCCGACTCCGTAGCAGAACTATATCACGGCCGACGGCATCGGAACCGAGCCCCCGACTACGTCTGCTCAACACCCGGATCATCCCCTCTTACTTCCCCATCCCTATCCCCAGCCTCAGCGGACATGGACGACCGCAGCGCAACAGCTCGGGCCCCAACGCCACCCCGACGTCGGCAGCGTGTCCCATCTCCATCGCCTCCACCCTCCGTGCCCGCCCATCTAACCGCATTGCTGTTCCGCCTCAGTCGTCAGGCGCGTAATCCGCACCTTCGGGCTAGGGCTCTCGCTGATCCGGCTTTGCACGCAATGCGGTTGCGCATTGATGATTCTGCGTGGCAGCCTCAGCGTTGTCGTTGCGGGGAGTGCTTCTGTAGGAACCTTTTGGATCGAAATGGCGGAGTAGTGCTGGTTGACGGTGGGAGGTTTTGTGCGTTTTGTTGCGAGAACCACTATGTTTTTTGAGATGTTGGAGGAGCAGAGCAGATATGCTATTTCATACTTAGTTACTATAGACTATAGAGCACAGTGGTTCAAGAGTGGGAGGAACTTGAGTTGATTGTATAAAAGGAGGGTGACGTTAGAAGGGGGAGTGAAGCAGTATTTTAGTAACGTTCGAAGAGAACAGCCAATAGTCAGATCAGATCCAATTATTTAGATGGAATTCCCTTGCTAGATCTGTTTTCGTTGGCTTATTTACTTGTAGAGAACCCTTCACTGTGGCGTTCTCGATCATGAACAACGCACTGCTAATCAACAGTCGTTCGTACCTAGTCGACCCTAGGGTAATCCGCCTACGGTAAAACGCTTACAGACGCAATCAGCATTTCCAAGCATTCCAAGAATGAGTGCCGCAGTTTTCTTGTGAAAGATTTCAATATTATGGCATGTTATACAATGCTGTCGCCTCTTCTATGACCACCCACCGAGAACGTAGATCTCATGCTCTCTCGATAGCTCTTACTCCTCGTTGCTTTGGGTCTCTCAATTCCATTCACCTCAACCGTAAAATAAGCGTCTCGGACCTCGATATTGCTGTCTGTGCTCGATGTATCTCTCTCACTGGCCTTTTTAGACTCCTTGATATGGATTTCCACATTCTTACTGATGCCTCCCGGCAAAGGTGGTGACTTGTTTAGATGTTCCTCGCTCCCGGACCTGGTGATTTCTGTAATCGGATATTGCGTATACGGCGGACGATTCTTCTTCTTGTTACTGCTTCCTTCTGTCACACTTCCAAGCATGATGCTCCCAGGCGCCGGTAGGTCGGATCGCTTGGGGTTATCGTATTTGTTGTTGGTACCGCCTCGTGATAGGGTACTCGAGATGGATCCAAAGATGGGTGTAAGCCAGCGCCGGAGTAGGGGGAAGATCATCGGGATATTGGTGGTGACGATTGCGACAAAGGTCTCGCGGACGGCCCAGGAACCTGCTTGTTGCGCGCCTGTAACAGGGTTCTACCATGCGCATAGGTCAGCGATCGGAGCCTTGAAGAATCCTCATGAGGTGCTGGCTTACCGTGATGATGAGCACGCAGCGGAGGATGCCGGCCATGGTTACGAAGATACCTCCGGAGAACAGGACGATGAGGCCGAGTTTCTGTCTCAGAGGCAGCCTGGCGCTCCACAGCATCGGTATCGGTATGCTTAGCAGGTAGAAATCCGTAATGACATTGAGACAGACGGTGACGATTATGTTAACCTTTGAGATAGCCGGCTGGCAAATGTCTGGCTAATCTTTAGTCGTGGGCGTTGGAAAGAGTTGTGCGGTACTTACTGCCCGGGTCTGGATATATTTGCCAGTTTTTGCGCATCGGGAAGCAGCTGAAGACGATAGAGAAGAACACTGCCAGCCATGTCGTCGCAATCAGAACGAAACCCGTGATGATTCGCTTGCGAAAATTGTGCAAACCCTCCTAATTCACGCGTCAGCTTGAGTTGTGACTTATGGTCCCTTCCAAGCACTGCTTACTGTAAGGCGCACGTAGAAAGTGCACATCGCAGCTTTTGCAGGCCAGAGGACGAGGCAGCTGTAAGTAATCCATCCCGCTATTTGTGTCTTCGATCCGTTGACCCTGCGAGTGTCATGTTAGACCATTCCCTCAAAACGATACACCAACAATCGCCCTACCTTGTCGAATATTCCTCGCTGTTTGGATCCAGACTCTTTCGCTCTTTGTCCGTCATGCCATTGTTGGCGAGTCCCTTCCAATGCGCTCCGACGCTGTACGCTAAAGCAGTTTCGGCAGAGTACGTGAACTGTACATTCGCATTAGTGTCTCAATTCCAACATCACTTATCAGCTGTGGAGAGACCGACGATGATAAGTATCATGAGGTAATCATCTGCCTGCAGACGCTTGAAGCCAACAGCGCTGATGCGGGCATAAGTCCTCAAGAAGATGACGGCGATGGCCACGCCAAGAAGCGCGAAAGCTTCTGTCGAGAATTCAGACATGTTGTCGAGATCATGTTAACTGAGTACCCCGCGTGATGCAGGAAGACGACGAGTCGAATCGCATAGTGTGAAGGAGAAGTGGAAAAGCCTTCTTGAAGAGTAATGCTAGCAGGATACGGTGGTGGAGTAGAGTAGGCAAGGAATAATAGCAGTGAAACCCAGATAAGACTCTTGGGAATTAGGTCGTCGAGGGGCCCTGCTTTTCAGCTTTGTAGATCGCAGCCGCTGCAGAATAAACCTTGCAAGGGCAAGCGGCCGGGGTACCGGAATCGGACAAGAGACGTACGTACGTCTATACTTATGTCGCATTCCCCCGTCACCGCGGAGACATTGACTTGGACACAAGCGGCATGGGCGGCTCGTGGGAAGTGCTGGGAAAGGGTGCGCTTACGTGCATGTCCGTTACCCTCTGAAACATAAACCACATGCCCTAGCAAACCCAAAATATCCGTACGTACGGATAGCTAGTGGTGGTTTGGTAACACACGGCTGACGGAACCAGTGATGATGATGATGATGGCGATGATTGAGACGAAGAAGCGTGAGGAGTTCGGACGATAAGAAGCCCGGGCCAGCGACTTGGATTCCCCGGCCAATTCAATGGGACTTTTCCCACCGATCAAGTGTCTGCTGTATGAAGTACGGATACATTTTTGTATTTTGTACGGAGTACACAGGCAATTAGCTGTCAGGCAGAGAGGCTGAGACAGCATATGGGCTATTCCAGATTACGACAAGTTGCCGAAATGGGCTTGCTGCCATATTCAGGAGAAGCACTAAACGTACTAACGGCGGTTGTCAGTCTTACTCGCTCGAGATAGCATCTCCTTCTAAGGATACGGTTATCTTGTCTCGATGGCATTTGATTGAAAGCTGTCAGACTTCTGGCCGCCATAGATGCGGCTCTTCGATAGCCTAGTCTACAGATATGGTAAAGCGTCGGCCCCTTTCAACAGAATGATGCCTAATACGACCAAACCCGTGCTGATGCACCTGGACAATGTCGGCAGATCATTAGCTCAGGGTGATGGCAGGGCAAACACGACCATCTCGAAAGCAAGTCCAGACTTGTTCAACAGCACTGGAGCTATCCTGCGCGACTCCCGCCAAGAAAATAGACTTTGACTTGTCTGCGAGCCCTCAGTTGATTGCCTCTTCCCTACCCTAGGTCTCAGAACTGATGATATCTTCGTGATGTTTTGCCAGAAATCTTGACGTGAGCCTTGTGCCCAAGGAGAGTGATCATTTACACCATATCTGATATGACGGAAGTTCCGAAGCCTGTCGAGTTGTGAACCCGTCGTTGGCCAGAATCCCTGTGGGGACCAGGGGCACGGCCTTGACTCGCGAGGGTTACATGGACGTGGGCCAGCCCACGGGGTCAACCAGCGCGGCGCCGGGGATAGTACCCTTGTGAGCCGTGTCAACGACTGTGGATATCTTCAGAAAGACGAGTGGTACCTGCGTTGAAGAAGTCCCCAATAGAAGAGCGACAAACAGACAGAAAGGCTTTAGTGGTCTTGGTTGCGTCCTGAACATTGATGAGTTGTTGCGCATTACCGTCTGATAGGTTCAACTTGTGTTGGACTATCGAACTACGTATCACGGTGCCGGTTTGTCCTGAAGAAACATTGTTTCGGTACGAGCTCTGACTTCAGCAAACTTCACCATCTTACAGTCAAAGAGCATCTTGTCTACCTATTTACTGGTCATGACCACAAATTTCTCAACTCGACTTACGGAGTAAATCGTTCTGCAATCGACAGCCTCCTTGTCAAATTGTCAGTATCGCGCAACCGGCGTAAAAGACGTGACAGTTCTTCCTCCGCCACGAGTCTACCACGAGTCAACGGCCCTGCTGCCATCTCATTTAGTTCAGTGGGTCTTTATCTTTGTGCCAACAGTGACTTGTCATCCGGGGAACGAGTCCGGTTGTGTTTGGATGTCAGGGCACCCTTGACTGTGCCTGAGCGCAATGCCCATCAAGCCCCCTCATACGGGATTCTTCGAGAGTTGGAATTCTATTTGTGCCACTATTTCGTAAGCTAAGAAGAGGCTAATATTCGGACAATGGTGCTCCGCTGCAAGCTGCCGGCCGGGAGGTTGATGGACAACTTCTTGAAGAATTGATGAATGCCGTGAGCGATGCAAAGAGGCAGGGGGCATGCAGAATTCCCTGCCATTGACGAATCAGCACTCAAGTTGAGTATTCGAGTATATTACCCAACTCCATGAAGGATGCAAATGCCAGAAACCCAACCAACGCCAGATCAGATGCAGCTGGTCAAGCAGGACCCAATATTCCCATGTTCGTCTGCAGGCCAGGGTTCTTGACAGAAGGTCTAGTGCTTATTATTCGCGATTTGGGAAGAGAGGAAGGCAGGCCCAACCCTTTTCCCGCACCGGTGGGATCTTCGCTTCGAAATAGACGCCTCGAACAAGTTTTGGTGTTCGGCCCTTCCACGCTGGTGACTAGTCGTCCAATTGTCTCAGAAACTCTGCCGCACTACTCAATGGAGACTCTCGACTTCGTCGTCATTGGAGCCGGTAAGTAACATCCCGCCAAACCGCTAAATGAAGGTCACAATCTGAAGCTGTGCCTGTAGGATGGTACGGCCTAGCGGCGGCCAAGACTCACCATCAACTCCATCCTGAAAGCTCACTGGCACTCTTCGAGCAAGCCTCGACCGCCGGCGGAGTATGGGCTGAGCACCGCCTGTACCCGGGGCTGAAGAGCAACAACATGCTCGGAACTTACGAGTACCCCGACTTCCCCATGGACCCCGAGACTTTCGGCATTTTGCCCGGAGATCACATTCCCGGCCAAGTCTTGCATGACTACCTGACCAAGTACGCCGAGACCTTTGGCATATTTGACAAGATTCGCTTCCAGCACAAGCTTCTCTCGGCAGAGCATCAAGACGGCGGCAGCTGGATTCTGACGCTAGTGGGTGGTACGGACGGCAGAGAGGTTCAAGTCCTCGCAAAGAAGTTGGTCGTTGCTACTGGCCTCACTTCGGAAGCTTTCCTGCCCGACTTCAAGGGTCAAGAGACTTTTGGAGCCCCCATATTCCACGGCAAGGACTTTCTTCAGCATGCAGGCACCCTGGAATCGGCAAAGTCTGTGACGGTCTTTGGCGGTACCAAGTCAGCGTGGGATCTTGTGTATGCCTACGCAATCAAGGGCATCAAGGTGAATTGGGTGATTAGAGGTATCCCGAAATGACCACCTCATGATCACTAAACCAATGCGCTAACATGACATAGAATCTGGACATGGTCCAGTATGGATGGCTCCCCCTTACGTCACGCCCTTGAAGAAGTGGCTCGAGAAGCTCGTCCACACCCGAGCCCTCACATGGTTTAGTCCCTGTTCATGGGGCGACGCTGACGGATACGTCAAGACGAGGAACTTTTACCACGGCACGGCCATCGGCCGCGGCATCACCAATAACTTCTGGAGCGTCCTCGGCAACGACGTCATCACCCTCAACAAGTTCGACTCAGACCCGGAGCTGAAGAAGCTGAAGCCGTGGAGCGAGGCCATGTTCACTGCGTCCAGCTTCTCTATTCTGAACTACGAGACGGACTTCTTCGACCTCATCCGCAACGGAACAGTAAAGGTGCACATAGCTGACCTCTCAAAGCTGTCACCAGGCACCGTGCACCTTTCAGATGGATCATCTCTGGAATCAGACGCTCTCTGTTGTGCAACTGGATGGAAGCAGTTCCAGCCCATCAAGTTCCTACCTGAGGGCATCGACAAGGAGCTCGGTCTCCCGCACCAGCCTTCTGCGGAGAGTTTCCCGACCGCCGAGATGATCGAGACTATCGACAAAGAGATTTTCAAAAAGTGGCCGCGTCTCAAGGACCAGCCTATTCAGAACAAGAGGCTGAAGCCGCTGGTCGAGGACGAAGGTGTCTCGACGAGAGAGGCCGTCAACCCGTATACGCCCCTCACACCGTACGTGCTTCATCGCTTCATGGTACCACCGTCGGCCAAGCTTCTGGCGCACCGCGATATTGCCTTCGCGGGCGTCTTGATGAACTTCACCGTGGCGATGATCTCCCACGTACAATCACTCTGGATCGATGCCTACTTCCACGACAAAATGCCCTCAGTGACCGAGGCCACGACAAGTGCTGGGACGATGGACAAGCTGCGGTACGAGGCTGCACTTCACAGTAGATTCTGCAAATGGAGGTACCCTGCCGGTCATGGAGACAAGTTCCCGGACTTTGTTTTTGATGCTGTGCCGTATATCGACCAGCTGGTGGGCGATCTGGGGTTGAAGGTGTACAGAAAGAATGGCATGATCGCCGAGGCATCTGAGCCATACGGCCCAGAGGATTACAAGAATCTCGTCAACGAATGGATAGAGAAGCAAGTCAATGATCTATGAAGTGCTGACGATGCGCTAAATCTCTAATACAAAAAGCAATGCTCGATGTTTACTTTGACTTCACACTCGGACGTAAGTGACGTAGAGGTTAGTTAATCCCGGCAAAATTAGGCAGCAGCCTCACCGCCCCCCCGAATTATATGCTGCAACCCAGATGCTTTATCGCCAGGATCGATATTTAAGCATCAACTTAGGAAGATTCATACTCTGGAGATTTTGACAGCTGGTGTATATCCTTACTGAACCCCCTGCCCAGCGTTGTGATAATGGAGGAAGTACCTCAAAAACCTGCAGTCTCACGGAGGAGACCGAGACAAACAGCGAGGATGGACAACGCAGCGGCCGCCTCTTCAAGACCATCTCAGACTACAAACAGTGATTCAGACTGTTTCATCATAGAACCTGAACACAATACAACAGGCATGACGGTGAAAGGCCTACATATTCTTCCAGAAATCATCCACGTCGGCCTCAAACTCAAAGATCTGGGGAAGGAAAGCATCCAGCTGCTCTTAGAGAAGCGCCAACTATTGATAGAGACGCCATTTGATGTCCCACCAGACATGAAAAGAAAGGGTCTAGCATCATCAGTTATGGCAACCTTGGTCTTTGCCCAGGAGGAAGCAGGCACAGCAGTCTGCATCTCACCCAATGGCATCCTGCTCACCTGCTCCCACTGCACCGCGGAAACTATCGACGACTTTGACGACTCCAAGAGCCACTGGCTCCTCTTCGCTTCAGGCCAAGTAGTCGAAGCCAAAGCTCTAGCCTGGGACGGCAGAAGAGATTTGGCCCTGCTGAAAATCATATCAGCCCAACAGTCTCCGCCATCTTCAGGACCGTCATCATCACCACCCTCAGGGGGATTCCCTTTCATAACCCTCTCCTCCACACCACCAGTCTTGAAGGCCCGAGTTATCTGCGTCGGCCACCCGGGCAGTGAGGATTTCGAGGCCACTATGCCGGGAACGAAGACGGACTACGATGTCCTCCACCTTAGCACCGGCACGTTCAGGGGTTGTGCCGAGGGTCAGGACCCGCAGGATAATTCGGATATCGGGGCGCTGATGCATTCATGCTGGACGTACTGGGGGCACAGCGGCGCACCGCTAGTCGATAGGAAGACGGGGACGCTCATTGGGATTCACTCGTCATGGGATGATGAGACGGGAATGCGTAGGGGAATTGCTTGGGAGGCCATATCTGAGTTTCTGGAGGAGAATAAGCGTTATTTGTGATCTTGAGGAAAGGGGCCAGGTCCTCTGACTTAATAGGTGTCTCTAGTTTCATGAGCTCTGATGTAAATCTTTACACAGACATAAGATGTTGGCTGGAGGCTCTAGTCTCTTTGAGAAATGTAGCAAGAGGGTAGAGGTGTGAAGGTCGTTCTTGCCTCTATACTCTGTCTCGTATCTGCCCCCAGTTTCTAATTCTTACTCCCATCTTTGGTTCCTTCTTCGTCCAAGGCGTTCTTCCTTTCATCGAAGACAGTTCCTGCCCTCACAATTGAATACCCAAAATTCTCAAACCCCCCTACCCCTCCATCCAGACCTTGTTCTTTCATTATCGCCAATACCGATAGGCACACACACAGATCATCCATCATCTGCATGCTCGGTATCCGCTAGCTTCAGCAAGCCGATATCATCCCCTCGGATACTCTGCTCAAACGCTAACAATCAAACCCAGCTTCTTCTGTGCTTGCTCAAAGCATCAGTGTTGTTCTCATCAAAAGCTGTTTGTTATTGCGCCAGTCGTCCTGATTTATCACTCTTATCATACTTAACACCCATCTCTAGACAAAAGCCTTGGTTCCAACACAGACATTGAACGTCTGCGCTTCTCATCAAAAGCCCCAGACACCACATTCGACCGGCACCGCCCTGCGCTCACGATACCCACGATACACACGATCTCAAAGTCCAGCCTTAGGTGCCTCCCCCGCCTCTACTGCTCGAATTACCGGCTGCCCGTCTGCCTACCACCCTCCTTTCAAAAGATGTATAACCTCTGGCTGGGCGAGAGCCCTTACCTTCCCTCCATCAACACACCCACAACAACTACAATCTCAATTTCAACAGGCCTCCTGAAATCATCGACAACTTCCCTCGCAACCGCAGCAATGCCCACCACCACCGAAGTCGAAGCCCTCCGCTCTTGGGTTCTCTCCACCTCGGGCAACTGGCTGTTGAACATCGCCAAAGCTGTCGCTCTCTCCATTCCCCTGGGCCTCCTCATCTCCGCGATGTGTTGCTGCTGGATTCCCTGCCTATGGTACACCGACCACCTCACGGACGAATTCCTCGACATCAGCGTCTGGACCGGCCGCCTTCTCCGCGGCGAGTACGGTCCCGCAGGCGGCTGGGTCCCCCTCATACGCCGCCGTGTCAGGATGTTCTTCATGGGCCGCGAGGAGCGCGCCGAGGCCCAGCGCCGCGAGGCGCAGGAGGCCATTGACCGCGTCGTCGGTGCCCGTCGCGACCACCACGGCCATGTCATTGGTGTCGGATACCAGCAGGAGCCTGCCATGACGACTGGCCTCCCTCAAAACCGCACCATGCGTCGCCAGATGGCCCGTCAGCAGGCTCGCGCGAACCGTACGGTCAACGGTAACAACAACTAAGCACCGTTCAAACCTCCTGGTCGAACTTCATGAACTCTGCGTTTCGAATCCTGTTCCAAGCGTCTAGCATTTGCAGAGAAAATCTAGATTTGGTAAGATAGCCGTTCCTTCCTCTTCTCTCCTTCTTGCCAATCTCAAAGGATAAAACAAAATGAATTTTACTGACATCGAATCTAGGTAGTCACCGCTCCTGCTGTAACGAAGGACGAACAAGAAGCTTGCCAAAGGGTATTCCACGACACAGAAACAGAGCAAACCCCGGCTATGAGGAAAGAGTGATCTTGTGTACCTTGGTTGACTTCGTACGCACGTACTCGGTTTGGAGACAATACAATTGGCGATCATGGATATGGCAAGAGCACAGGCTGCTGCCGCAACCCAAGGGTATCCTAAAGAGCGTGAAAAGAGAGAGAGAGAGAGCATTAACAGTGCCCGATTTGACTGGAGATCGTTGGAGATCTGGCGGCATGACCATTATTGGGACTTGCGCTCGAGATAAACGGACCATCGGAATTCGAGCGATAGTTACAACCTCCAACAGATTTATCCTGTCGAGTTAAACCCAGTTGAAGCCTACGTACTTACTTGTGACTGTGATCAGTCTCTCACTTCCATTGGAAGTGGACCATCATAAATGATCACATGCTCCCCTCTGTGCTACAAAGTCAGCTAGTTGCTACAAGACCAAGAGCATTCGTTCTTCTTGCGTACCTTAACTTAAGCCCGAATGTTGTCGAAATAAGCCTTAAACCTACACATCTCACTGTAAAAGTATAATGAAAAGGAGCACCAGCGTGAAGTCAGATATCTGCATCTCATTTGACGCCTCTGCAGAGGACCGGCCGAGTCTATCTAAAGACAAAGCCTTTCAGCTGTCGTTTTTCGCCGACATGGTGGGCAGTATGTACAATCCAGAAGTTTCCTACACACACAGGCGGCATCAAATACGCCAACCGACTCAAAGATTGGATGCTGCAAATAATAGCGATCCCTCTTCTTCAAATTTTCTCTTCCGTCTCTCTCGGGCCGGTCGTTGAATGGGTTCTCTACCAATCATACGCCGGCCTTTCCTCCAAAAAGGACGCGTCTCCAAACTGAACAATCCCCGGTTGAGGGGTGGTATCATTTCCTGACTGAAGCGAAGTGCAAAAATTAGGAAAATCACAAAGGTGAGTGTAAAAGGCGTTGGGCCATGAAATTATTGCCTGTTAAGAATAGAAGGCGTAGGGGGCATGTGTTGTGGGTAGTATGCCAGTGTATCCGGTTTTGGACGCTCGTTGCTCTCACTTGGTGCTTGGTGTATGATGTATGTTGGAGCTGGTGAGGCAGGCAATAAACCATGCGAATGAGTCAAGGTCGATGGTCAGAAGGTATGTTGACAAAAAGGAAAGGCGGTTGGCGAGTTGGTAATGGGTGCTTGAGAAGGGTCGAAAAGAGTTTGGGGTATAATAGAAAAGGGCGGGCGGAAGTATGTCCCAAAGTTTGATAAAGTAATGTAGGTTGGTATCGCCATTGCGTTTACTGCCCGAAGGAACTGTGGCTTTGATGCGCGTCTTGAAGAACTATGAAATTGTTAGCTTGGGGTTGGAAATTTGGTGACAAGGCCATGACTTACTGTGTAGTACATTCATCTGACCGGCGCGATCTTCGCACGCGACCTGCAAGCCAGAGCCCTCAACCAAGTCAAGGCAAATGCTGTTAGGCAGCTCCTGAATTTCCATGTCGGGAATGTAGGGCACCCGAAAGTCTGAGAGATGGTATCTCTTGACTCCGGCACCAGTAGGCTGCTTGTTCTTGGCGGCGGTGCCAACGGCGACGGCGCTCAACATCAAGAACCCCTGGGAGTCCAGGCACATGCTGCGACGCTTCCATAGCAAATTGTCTGGGAATTGGACGTTGACATCTCCCATGAAAGCCTCGATGGTGGGCTGCTGGAGGCGGGCTACCTCTGATGCGTCCTCCTCCTGAACTGTGGGAGAGATCGCAGTCGGGGTCATGGTCTTACCACGCCCGGCGCTGCTCAGGGATGACGAGAGGCGACGCATGAAACGACCTGCGCGGCCCTTCTTCTTGTCGCTAGTGGTGGATTTGCTGTCGTCGCCAGAGCCGCTGCCCTCTGTGAACATGGATGGAGACATGGCACCGCTCAAATCGTTCTCCTTGCTAATGGAAGATCGACGGCTGCTGATCGAGAGACGGCGGCTGAGACCACCAGAGTTTGCGTGAGTCGAGGGTGGCCTTGAAGGTGACTTGGAGCCAGGAGACATGGGAAGAGGGGCGGTCAATGCCTCTGTGGAGGGTGAAGTGAGTGACTTGCGACGGTCCTTGATAAAGTCCTTCATGATGCTGAGAGATGAGCGCCGCGGCGCTTCTTCGACATCCTCCTTGACGTCAATGGACTGAGAACAGCGCTTCTCCTTTGACAGTCTTCGCTCCTGAATAGTCTCTTTGGAGGGTTCCACTGCAGCCAGGTTGGCCGGCGGGAGCGGAAGCTCAGCCTTCTGGTGATCGACAACCAACGGCGACACCTTAAGATCAAGTCGTTCGAACTCGGAAGGGTTCTTGGGCGGCTCAGGCGCCTTACCAGCCTGGCTAGGGTCACGGATGATTCGCGCCGTGACAGAGATGGATTCTGGGCGACCTCTGGGCGGGTTGCTGCCAGGCATCTCAAACATTGAAAGCCTGTTTGCCATGGACCCCGACCTACCACGGCCTGCAGTCTCCGGAGATGACTCTAGCGACTCAGTCATGATAGGGGGGACAGGACTGGCGCCACGCGTCGAGGGCCTCGTCCTGTCAACAACAGAAGGGGAACGAGACGGCGGATCCCGAACGCTTCCCCTCTTAACGGCGAAGAACGCTGAGGATGGCCTCGGAGCCTTCAGAGTGCTGCTGCTTGTGTCCGCTTCGACAACACCGGGTGCATGAGCGGACAGTTTTTCCAGAGCCTTGATACGTTGGGAGATGCTAGATCCAATCTTGTTAGGCTGGTTTGGCTTCAAATGATTGTTGCCCTGCTGCTGCGTAATCTTGTGTAAAAAGGCTGCGCCAGATGAGATTGATCTCTGGCTTTGGGCTTGAGCCACATCCGCAGCCGTGAGGCCCCGCACTGGGTTCGAGATAGTGCGCACAACGCCGCGCGAAGTCGGCCTGCTTGCGTTCTGGAGTGTCGGGCTTGGGAAGACTGGGGTGATGGGCGATTTGGACACAGTAATATGCTGTGCTTGCTCAACCGTAGCAGAGTGCAGCTCATCCATCAAGTCCTCGTCGTCGGAGATAACGTCGTCTGCACGCTTTTCAGGTACTTCCAGGTCGGTCCGAATTGGTTCAACAAGCGATCTCCGCTTGCACGCCTCCGAGGCTGCCGGAGCCTCCCCGACAACACTGTCGTTTTCCTCTACCGCGGTAGGCAGTGGCTCTGTGGGTGACTGTTCTTCAGGCGGCACGATGGTGAGAACTTCGACAGCGGCAGCCGATCTGAGATCCTGGGTCGAGAACTTGGATCGTGGAACTCTGAGTCCGGGCGAGCGAGGAGACAGCGGCGACTTGGGAGACACTTCCGCCGGCACAGAAATGGTGTCACTGACATCCAGGGGTTCTGGCTTTGTTGATTCGACGGGAGCCTTTGGCTGAGTTGGGCTCGTGGAAAACTTGGAGATTGGTAAGCTAAAGGTGGGCGATTTGGGTTGTTGAGCCTTGACTGCTACCTTCTCAGTCTGAATTCGTTGTTCCATGGGCTGGGCAGGTCCAGAAGTTTCCGCTTGCTCAGTGGCAAGTTCTTGTGTTGCGGCCGTGGGGGGTTCGTTCTTGTCCTCGGTCGAGTTCTCGTCGGCAGGTGTAGTTTCCATGCGCTCGGGAACTTCGATCGGGGCGGTTTCGGAGGAGTCGGTAACTTCATCTTGAATCGCGGGGGTGAGCTCAACGACCGGCTCGGCATCGTCTCGTTTCTCACTAATATCGACCTCGGGCTTGTTCGATTCAGGGGCCGCAGCCTCTTCGGGAACAGGAGCTTGCTCGACCTCCACCTCCGGCTCGACTTCCTCATGCACCTCAACCATATCCATATCAGCATCAAGCTCCTCTTCCTCGAGCTCCTTTACTGTTTCTTCGGTGGATTCGGAAAGCGATGACGCCTTGGTCGACTGGTCTGGTTCGGAAGACGCTATGATGGGCGATGCAGGGTGAGAGTCGCTCTGGGTGAATTCAGAGGCCACGTCGGTGTGGACAGAGACTGACGATGCATCGACCACAATGCCTGAGTCCGCCTTAAAGACCGAAAGTCGTCTCTCGCGGTCGTCGTCATCCGCTTCGGTAGCAAGGGTCTGCTCGGTTATCTCCTCAGTGTGTTGGACAGGCTGAACCTTTTCCGAGGTGACCTCCTCAGCAGGGACATCAACGACAGGGGAAAAGGCGGGTTGTTGGTTCATTTTCTTCTTCTTTTCCCTCAGTTGCATCGCCTTCATCAGACGCGCCTTTTCAGGCGTCATGACCTGTTTGGCGGAAAGGGTGGTGAAGGACGGCATCGCGGATTTAATTGAAGCGCCCGAGCTCGTTGTGGGTCGCCCTGAGCTCGTGTGTGGCCTAACGGGTTCATCAACCTGGGAAATGGGATCCCCGTCGGGTAGGGGTATTGAAGTGGCGGCCAAGGAGATTTCGGTTGTTTCGTCGGGGTGGGCTGGTTCGGCAGGATCCAGAGTATTTTCCTTGGACTTTCCCTTTTTGGAACCCTTGGAAAATAGCTTGAAGCCAGAGGGCATCTGCGAAATTGGTCGGAAAGCAGCCCCCACAGCAGCAGTTCCTGTGCGAGCACGGCCAGCAACGTCGAGAGATGGTCGTGGGGCAAGTTTGACTCTGGGTTTGCCGTAGGTATAAGATGACGAAGAATAAAGCTCGGGTCGCAGGGACTGCGATGACATGCGGCGTCCTTCGTCTACCGATTTCGAAGGTGAAGGCGGTCTGGCGCCAACGAATTCGGGCGGCTCCAATGATGTAGAAAACTTGCTCTCTTCGGGCGAATTGGCAAGGTCAGCATTCAACGTCACGGGCGGGCCTTCGATTGGCGATTTCGGGGTTTCTGTCGAATCCTCTGTCGCGTCTTCCACCAGATTATCGGGACCGGTGGATTTTCGCTTGCTTGCTCTCTGTTCTTCTTCTTCTTCTTCCGCAATTTCCATCAACCGTCTCCGTCTCAAAGAGCTTGTCGAGGACGAGGTCGATCCAGACGCAGCGTGCAAGGAACAGGCAGCAGATAGCTTAGTATCCTTGAGCTCCTTCGCGGAAGCTATCGAGAAATCGGTATTGTACGGCGCAAACCGCTCGCAGACGGCATTGAAGTGGACAGTGACTCGAGCTACAATTGACAAACAGAAGGCCAAGTCAGCTTCATTTCCCTCTGGAATGGGGGAAAGACCAAAAGAATGCGCCACAGCCTAGAGACAAACCCACCTTGGACAAGCCGAGAACAATCTTCGGGAAGATATTTGATGATTACGTTCCGGCGTCGGTACCTCAGAAAACCAAATAAGGGCGAGTGGTCCTCGTTGTCATTTTCGAATTGGGCGATGTTGTTCCGGATCTCTACAATGCCACCATTCCCGCGGCCCAATAGTTCAACGTCGTCGCGACTTGTATATTTGAGGAGGAACCTATATTACGCAATAGTCCATGACGTCGGTTAGCCTACGTGAATCTAGCGGCGCCTCAACGGCAAGCGAAGAGAAGGGAATTTGCATGATGGGATATAAAATAAAAAAAAAGCGGTGAGCGGCCTGTGAGCAGCTCTGGGCTGGCAAGCGGTGACAGGCACGGAAAAGACAATGGTTCGGTGGGGATAAAAGGGAGGGGATCATACCATCCTCCTGGTTCAGCAACGGCAGCCTCGTGGGCCTCCTTGACCTTGGGGTCGTCCAGACCATTGAGCGACATCCTCCCTGTCGGCTTGGCGAGCTACGAGTAGCACAACTGGGAGGGTTTGCGGTGGTCGTGGTTGTCTACGTCGGCGGTCGTGGTCGGCAGACGTGGAGTGCGAAATGCGCGCGGCGACTGCGACTGCGACTGGGAGCCGGGAGCTGTACGGAGCTGTACGGACGTAGCTGCTGACGAGGCTGGTATCCGGGGGACTGCAGGGCGAAATCGAGTGGATTCAGACGGAGGACCAAAAAGTGGTTCGGAAGGGGGGGTTTTCGTCGCTTAGTATGCTATGGCTGGACCGATGGCGGTTGCGATTTTCAGGGGTAAGGCTGAAGAGTGCAGCGGCGACAGCAGCAGCGGCAAAGGCGGCGACATGTAGAACAGGTCAAGGGGCATGGGCGAGCCGCACATGGGCACCAAGAAGTGTCGTGAAGAAAGAGGGGCAGCACAAAAGAGAGACAGGCAGAAGAAAGCGTGTCTGGCCGTTTGTTGTGTAAGATGACGGTACGGAGTAGGTAGACGAGGGTTGAGAAGTGAGATTTGAGTCGTCTATGGGAAATGCGACAGGAAAGAGAGAGTGGGAAAAGGTCGTGTTTGAGCCACGGACCTCGACGAGGGGAGCTTCTTGGTGGAGGCCGAGAGAGACGGGAGAGTGAAGACGCGAGGGGTGTCTTGGGCGTCTATGAGGTAGTGCCAGTAGGTACCATAGGTAGATAGGTACGGGTAATGATAGTCTGATCTGCCCAGGTCCGGTCTGGTCCAGGTCGCGTCTGCCGGCTCGGGGGGTGGGTGAAGTCGTATTGATGTACCAGTTTGCTGCAGGTGAGGTGGTGGTCGACGCGCGGGATGAGAACGCAGTGCAGCAAACAGGGTTCACTGCGCACCAAGTACCAATGTAGGCGATGGAGGTGAAGGCTGAGATGGAGAGAGGTACGAAGGCAAAGGTACCTCTTGAGGTGAGGGTGTAGCTACTGCTAAGGCAGCCAGGTAAAATGAATGGAGAGAAAGGTAATTACGGCTGGACCGTGGCAAGGGCAGCAGAGTGCCGTGAAGAAAGGCGCAAATGAAGAATTGGATGGATGGATGAGACTAGTACGACTAAAGAGCTAAGGGTCTGAAGGGTTGAGGACAACAAGGGGTCCAAAAGAAGGTAGGGGGGCAAAGGAAAGAAGATAAGGATAAAGAAGAGAGAAAAAAAAAGTAGTTTAGGTGCCGAGATGTATCACAAGTCGCAAAATTCGCACACTGGAGATGTCGCTCTTCGTAAGGTGCCTAAGACAGACACGCAGAAGTTGACAGCAGGAAAAGTATTGATTACGGATATGGAGTGGAAGAAAGGGGGGCGGATAGGAGAGAAAGAAGCGACAGTTGGAACTTCTTTCCTTGACATGGAAGTCTCGTCGAAAAGGAACCCCAACTTGCTGTCTCTCACTGGCACGCCGTACTGACAGGGTAGGGGCGATTGGGGTCTACCTGCCGTGCCTACCTAATTAATAAGGTAAGGTGGTAAGGTACTTTGTACCTCGAGGAAGGTAACGGGTCCCTTGCCTGCCTGAAAGACCGGGCTTGACAACGGAAGGCACCAAAAGTGATCATACAGAAGGTGTCGCCTTCCTCGTCACCTCCGCCAATTGGCTTAGTAAAGAAGCAAAGGGATGTCGCATTGGCGAGTGTCACTCTCTTCTTCCACTTTCAACCTCTTGTCCTCTGCTCATCGTCGCTGAACTTCATCTCGAACCCACCACGTCCAACCAACCACCACCTTGAACCACCTATCCACACTCGCACCGGTCCTGCAGATACCTACAGCTAAAGGCTAAAGCACATCGCGCCGGCTGTCCTCGGGCCCCCCTAGATCTTCTCCCTTCTGGGATCCCTTTTGCGGGCTTAGGGGGTGAAGGGGATCAACTTTGGTCTAGGCGTTAAGGGGGAAAAGAACGGGAATTCTTTAGAATCAGACCAAGGGAGACGGACGGACACCTCGACGAAGTACAGTGCACTACGAAGTTCGAACAACCATGATGCCAATACCATGCAACCAATCAATGACTGAAGCTTCTTGCATTCGTCTGCAACGCACCCTGGAATCGCTGGGACTGCTACTTGAGAAGCGCAACACAGACCACCATCCATCCCGGTGGAGAGGCATGGAGCCAGAGCACGGGGCATCTCCGTCCTGCAGCAAATCGGTCCCTTCCAAGCCCTCCAATTCGGACTGATCGCTGCTCCAAAGAAACTCTGTTGACGTTGGCTTCTCTAACAGTACCCTTCTCTATATCTTATTAGCCACGAATTGATGCCTACTAGGAACTAGAACGGTGAAACTGGAAGGAATGGCCCTACCATTTACCTAAAGATTCAACGAGGACCGTTTTGTTCTTTTCCAACGACCAAAGAAAACATTACCTTCCAATGCCCCCCCTATTCTCCGCCATCACGTTACGCCACGCCTCGCCGCTACTGGAAAGCTTGCTAGGGGGGAACAAAGCGACGCCATCTTGTCATTCGCCGTCAGCCCACGTAAGTTCCTCTCAGACACTATTTTGGACGCGACAACCGCGCCGAGAAAGGTCAGAAAGAGTCAGGTCAAGACACCGGTCAAGACACGAGATGACAAGGCATGGAGCGACAAGACTCACAGAAGAGAGAGAGAGAGAGAGAGACACCACCCAGGTAGGCGGACAGAACGTGGCAGGTCCGGGGGAAGAAGGGCAGTGAAACGTCCAATGCTGCCGCCGGCGTCCCGGAACCTGAGTAAGCTGCACATGCACGCCACGCTCACTGGATGCTAGCTACAGGATCGACTCTCGATAATAAGACGTTCCAATATACACGGGATATTGAAACTACTTCAACATGTCCGTGTCGCAAGTTGGACGACATGCGACGATTAGGTTCCGGGGGGTCACTCTTTTCTGCACCAGCCACTCACTCAAGTCAGATAGGTGGCTGCCGTCATATTTTGGGACATGACGAACGCAACTAAACGTCCCCATTCCTCCACTGTTCAACGGTCAAAGAAGCAATAATGACTAATGACCACTTACACCCGCCACGACTCAGGTTCGGGAATAGAACCATGGCGGGATGAGCAAAGTTCGTCCCTTCGGAATGATCTCCGTATCCCACCACCTGCCACCACATGATCGACCCTGTCTTTCTTTTTTCAGCAAAACTCTGAGCCAAAATCCCAAGGCTTGACGTGAACACTGAATGATGCCACCCTGGCTGGTTCCCGACGCGATGGACTGCCAAGTGGAGGTAGCAGAAAGGCTCTCTGTGTCTTGCTTCAACGACACCTCGATCAACCACTCCATCGCATGCTGTTTGCTACACATCAACCAAGACCACCGTGAGTGTCAGCGAGATCATCGTTCCGAATACAACAACGTTCCAACGTCCCTAGGCTCACACATGGCGCAATGAGATAGCTGTTCAACGAATCTCACCGTATCTCCACCGGCGGCTCGGCCATACGCTATGACCTTTGTCGAATCCACCACGGCCTGCCTGCCAAAGAAGCCCAGGCACGGAAATGAGAATCAAATCAAAAGTTCGCCGAATCACCACCGTGAACGCGGCGTGCCCTCGAGCTTGGGAATAAATCCTCACTTCAATTTCTCGCTGCCCATTTCCTCCCACTGCCCAGAGACCGGTACCGTACCAGCCGTTCGAACGCGTGGGTCTCTCACCAAATGTCTCTTCTCGGACTCGTTTCCCACCTTCACTGAGCTCTCTATGCATCTTTCTAGAAATTCCATTTATCCAGCAAAAAAGAGGGGCAACGGTAGGGGTCCTTCTCTCCAAGCGCATGTTATCCGTCCTCGGTAGCATTTGTCAGTGTTTCGGACGATGCACCTCATATTAACCTCCGATCTCTCTCATCCCATCACGTCACAAATCTGGCCAAACTATTGCGGACCTTTGTCTTGGGAATTTGGGAGCTCCCAGAGTCCCAGCACCAGCAGCACCGGGAAGCTTGCAGGACTGTTCTAAGGGTTAGACTTCTCAGACCTCAGATAAAGTGCCTGCAGCTCCTAGCGTGCAGGAGAAGATCAGGCAGGTGCGGAGTACATACTTCAAGTGTGCAACGTGTAGCATGCATATTCCTCCCCCGCCCTCTCATGCAAGTGCGGTGATGCATAAAACAACGAATTTTCATCACATTGGAGCAGCGCGGTCAAAGCGTAGTGAATGCTTGAGTTCGCTGGCATGCCGTATTCGTTCATCGCGAGTTGGATGAACTCGTCACTTGAATAAAAATCTACTTCATCCATGTCCCTATCTATCGTTCGACCCCTCAGCATCTCGTAAATCGACGTGTTCATCTAATTCTTCAACGGGCAAACGGGTCCAATCATGGGGATGGAGGGGTCAGCGGAGGCTCCGTCCCAGCATCCAGAACGCCCGACATTAGCTACGGATAGGTACGAATACCTATTAAAGTCCATCGCGATTGTGGGAAAGATTTCTCTTGGCCTTCTTTGATTATAGGCAAGACTCTCAGGTCTCAGGAAGGAAAGAGCCCAGCGGCGCCCCGGCGCTAGCTGGCTCCGGTTTGCAGCTCCGGACTGGAAACTGGGGGGCCTCGGCAGCGTTAGACGGCCAAACGGCTCATACGCTACGTAAGCAAGCGGAGGTTGAGGGAGATTGCATATTCGTACGGAGCTTACCTCCATCTTCTTGACTTTGAGCCGTCCAAAGGTTGCCGCCGCCGGTCGGTCGGTCCATCATGTTCGGAACCAGGACCCGAATTGAAGCTGAGAATTGAGCTGATGCTGACCGCTGACGCTTGGTTCGGACTAGAATCCCGCAAGAGCGAATAAGCTCGTGACCATAGAGCACGGCAAGCACGATTACGTTATTGAGAGAAACATCATGTGTATCAGGAATTAGGTTGATTCTGCCTCTACGTATATGCCTATCGTCATGTGCCGTGCTCTCAAAGAGACACTTTTTCTTGCAAAAAACAAAAAGGTCAACGAGGAGGAAAGGGGGGATATAAACTCAGGTATACATCGAGGGGGAAGGCCCAGTGTTGCGAAACCACCGGATATTAAACGCCGTTTTTTCCATGCTTGTCGTAAGGTATAGTTTGTGCCACATAAAAAACAAGGAATTGAGATGGGTATTTTGTTTTTTTCTTTCTTGTTCTTCGACATTGCTTTTCGTTCAGTGAAGGCCGGCACCGACGGCGCCCGGCGGCGGGGCATCCAGGTCGACGCCCTCGACGACGGTCCTCTGCTGCGCGCTGTTGCGAACGAGGTTGCCAAAGTACTTTAGCGCGACCTCGCTCTCCTGGCGGACCTTGAGCGTCTCCTCGCGGCGCTTGCCGAGATCCTTGACGGACTGCTCGAGACCGACGCGGAGGTTGTCGGCGGGGAAGCGCAGGACCTTGCGGACGGAGCCCGAGATGCGCGTAGAGTTAGTGTGCACGTAGTCGACTGCCTCCAGCTGAGCCGCAATCTTGGCCGAAAGCCGGTGGGGCAGGGAGTTGGGGATCTGGTTGAGAATGTAGGCGACGGCCGCGAATGCTGAAAAGGGGGGTTTGTTAGTTCCGTGATGCTGCTAGCAAGAGTGTGAGATTTGAAGAAACTTACAAGCTGCGAGGATGGCAGGGACAATGAGGCGACGCAGGTTGTCGTTGCCCATGATCTTCGCTGCGCTCAACGCGTGGTCCAACCAGCCGCTGGAACCCATCATGCGAGGAACGAGAGCTCCCGCGACAGTGAGAGCCATTCCAGTGCCTGCCACCTTCTCCTGCTTCTGGGCGATGGTGTGCCAGTCGACAAAGTCCCAGAGTTCAGTGGGGACATCGACATTGCGTGCCATTGAGTCGCGCTTTCTCTTGAACATGACGTCGGGCCGGAACACCAGGCTTTGGTAGTCGTTGCCGAGATGCATGATGCCGAGCTGCTTGATGGCGTTGACGCCGCCAACCGTCTTGGTCTTTGCGTGGTCCTCGCAGGCAACAACCGACTCATGGATGTAAGACATCATGGCTTCCTTGAGCTCTTCCGCGTACTCAAACGCATTGAAGATGCCCCGGTAAGGGACGCCGTGGTTGTTGTCCCCAGCATGGTCGATAGCCGTGCTGAGGGTCGTCCGTGTGTAGTCGTAGACCTCCTTGCACGTCCCTTCGGTAATCTTGTCAATCTCGTCGCCAACCTGTGCGGTGGCCTTCCGGCTTGATTCGAGCTGGGGCTCAATCTCCTTGAGTTCCTTGACGACGCGGTCAAGTTCGGAGTTGGCAACCTCGGAGTTGACGTTGGCAAGAACGTGGACGTCGTTCAGGATGTTGAGCAGATAGGTCTTTGCCGGTGCCAGCTTGGATCTGGCGCGTTTCTCGAGGACGAATCTTCGCAACGACTGCTCGAGGTTCTCAAAGTCTCGGATCTTCTCAACGTCCTTGCCCTTGCCCTTCGGGTCGTCTCCAGGGTCATCACCACCACCTCCGCCACTGCCTCCACCGGAGGGCCCGCCCGGGTGCGCGGGAGCTGTAGGAACAGCATTACTCGAGACGAAATGAACCAGCTCATTTGATTCCTTGTGCGTTCTCGGGCTGAGTCCGTGGACCTGGTCGAGAATCATCTTTTGGCACCTGTTTTTGTCTCTAATGTTGTCGTAGCCATTGACAACAATGAAAAGGTAGGCCTTCTCGGCAGCGGCTGCCCAGATGAACTCCTTAGCCGTCATAGTGAAGTGATTCGCAGCTGATACCACGAAGACGACGACATCGATTTCCTCCTGTCGGGCGAAAACAGCCGTCGTCTTGGTTGTATCAGAGTTGAGACCCGGGGCATCGATCAGAGCAATATCCACCACACCATTATTCAGCAGAGATTCGTCAATGGTTCGTACGTCCTTGACGTAGACCTTGCACTGGGTGTATTTCTCGTTGTCCACCACGAGCTCCTCGAGCTGCGCCAGCTTGTAAACGTCGTATGTGCTCTCGTTATGGCGGTCGTAGTCGGCGTCCTTGTGAACAGCGTGCACCTCTTCGAGGCCTCCGTTCTCCCTTGCATCCAGGACCTCGCAAAAGATTGCCGTGCAAGGTTGTTGATCCTCGGGAAGAACCTTTCTTCGAAGCAGAGCATTGCAGAAAGTCGATTTTCCGGCATTCAAATCACCAGTGATCAAGACTTTGCTGGATGTATCTTCGATTCGTTCTCGGAGGTTGAGTAAGTGTCGGACGCTAGAGCTGATCTTGCCATCCAGAAGGGAGGCGATGGAGCCCTTCTCCAAGGAGTGGACAAGCTCTGCCTGGTGAAGCGAGCCCAGCTTGAGGTCTAGTTTGAGGACCGAAAAGTCTTGGGCGATTTGGGGGGTGACGAGTCGCGGTTCTTCCGGTGCCCGTCTTTCCTGGGCCCGGCTCGACTCGGCACTCTCGCGGGCTTCTAGCGATGTAAAAGATCGTCGTAAGGATGGAGGAGCGGTCGGAGACGACGGAACTGACGAGGCGGACATGGACGCGGGGGCTTCGCCGATGGTTGAGTACGAGTGTGACGGGGCAGGGCGTGCTCCCTCGGCTCGCTGAACAGACGGATAATGTGCTGGCCAGGAAACATTCATCTCTTGCAACTCCTTCAAGAGCTCAATGACCTTGTTGATGGAGCGACCCAGCGTCACTCTGTGGGCATTGTACCACAGCTGGTGAATAGCGCCCGCCTGACTGCGCCGGTCAGCTTCGGAGAGCTGGCCATTGACAGGAGTCGGAATGTGTCGGTCGCCAGAGGATGTCATTGCGTTGCCGTCCGCGATACTGCCGCCGTACCCAGAGTCGTTCTCGAGGAGCGACTGGAGATGCGCTGCATGTGCAGAGGTGGAGCCGGATCCAACGGTCATGAATTGCGGTGGCCTGCTCGATGACGGCACTGGTTGGTAAGGCGCGTCGTTGTCGTCCTTTTCAAGTTCCTGGTCCATGGGTGCCTTGCCCTTCTTTGAGAAATAATCTTGGCTCATTTTCAGTCGGTCGAGGGTTGAAGCAGCATGGTCGAGCAACCAAAAAATTGCGAGTTAAGGACGGGAAGAAAGGGGATTTGTTTGGGAGGCGTCGTAGTTTTAGCGTGTAAGGTCGGTCAAGAATGTTTTTTAGGGAAGCTCGTCATGTACTCCATACAGAATGGAACTCCCAGCGCATGATTTTGGGCGGAGCGGCAAATTTCCCACCATCCTTTGTCGCGGCGCTTCACCCATTGGTTCAAAAACTCGAGTCGGAAAATGCCGCCGCCATCCGAGGCCGGGCTGCCACGGGCGGTGAGGTGCCACGCTGCCACGGTGCCTTATCTAATCATCCACGTTATCTAGTCCCCAGGGTGGGAATGGAAGTTGGAACCTGGTCGGACCTTTCAGCGGGTCAGCGCAACCGGTCTGAACAGTCACCAGTGCACCACCACTCGCCAGTGGTTTCCTTGGAAGTTACCTGACTCTGTGCCAAGCTGTTGTACGTACCCTTGTCCGTTACGTGAGTGCCAGGCAACCCGAATACCATTCAACCTCCACTATCAACTCCTCTCCGCGATAGCTACACAATCGCTACCATCGACTTCTTGAACTCCTCGCCGCTGCTATTCCGATACACGACGCTTCACCCGTTCCAAATCAATCGCACCCGGCCGCCACGATGAACGTATGCTGCGCGCACCTTTCCCCGCCACGACTCGACCGACTACTAACCTTGTGGCCTAGATTCTGGAATGGGCGTTTGGCAAGCGAATGACGCCAGCGGAGCGTCTGCGCAAGAACCAGCGCATGCTTGATAAGGCGATCCGAGAGTTGGACCAGGTCCGAACCAAGCTGGAGAAGCAGGAGAAGCAGTTGATTACCCAGATCAAGCAAAGTGCTCAGAAGGGACAGATGGGCGCCTGCAAGATTCAGGCCAAGGACTTGGTCCGGACAAGAAGGCACGGAGCCATGGAATCCAAGGGTATATGGCGCATACTCCGGCTGACTGTTGTTGCAGATACATCGAAAAGTTCTACGGCATGCGCAGCCAACTGCAGAAGATCTCTCTCCGGCTTCAGGTACTACTCAGCTGGTCTCAAGGATTCGCGGATACTTGACTGACACTTGAACCTTACAGACATACCGCACCAACGAACAAATGATGACGGCCATGAAGGGCGCAACCCAAGCCCTCGGCACCATGAACCGATCGATGAACCTCCCGGCTCTTCAACGCATCGCAATGGAGTTCGAGCGCGAGAATGACATTATGGACCAGAGACAGGAGATGATGGATGACGTTATGGATGATGCCATGGATGTCGGTGCTGAGGAGGAAGGCGAGGAAGTTGTCGAGCAAGTCCTGGAAGAAATTGGAGTTGACTTGACATCGGCGGTAAGTACACGCATCGAGGAATCGGTGGTTCATTGGCTAACGAGGGGCTGTACAGCTGGGCGAAACACCATCTGGGATGCAAACTACGGCCGTACCCGAAAGCAGAGTCGCCCAAGCAATCGGAGGAGGCGGAGGTGGAGGTGCGGATCCCGGCGACGACGACCTTCAGGCCCGCCTCGACAGTCTTCGGCGGTAGTCACAGCAATGGAGCGGCTGGTGGAGTGATGACGATATTTTGCGGACGACAGCGATGTATGAGGGAGGCAACGGAGCAGCTAGTTTGTTTTGTCACATATGGAACGGCGTTCCAGGATAAGGGAAGGCGAACTTTTTCTCAAGCCAGGCTTCTAAATATGCAGTACGTTTGCTTCGAAGGAAGTTGCTGTGAACGAGCCGTGAATTGCCATTGCTATCCGGGAAGTGTCATCGCGATATTGCGTCATTCGTCTGCAGCCAGGACCGGTGGCCCCGCTGAGACGTCTGCATTTTGCAAGGCCGAAAGAAATGGAGGATTCGTCTGCGCAGATGAAGATTTCAGCACTTCCTGAGTTTACTACTGGCAGCGTGCTAAAAAAGCTTCTTACGTTTCAAACCATCACGAGAGTGTAGGAGGCATCTGCCTCTGGTTGAGTGCGCCTTTACTTACAGCATGGTGATACTGGGTGATCGACTATCCATGAATGCGAGCCACGTTTATGGGTTGTCTGACGCACATAGTTGTGCTGTCTAAAATACCTGGTATGCAACGGGGTTGAGAGCAGGTCGTCGTGGTGAAAGTGAGGGTCCAGGCCAGTTGTTGCATCATAACAATCACACAAACCTGCCACTCGTAGAATGCCATGTCGGCACTGATGGCCCGAGTCAGCGATTCTGTTAGTGTTAGTCAAGCAGATGTGGGCCATGGCATGTCCCCGAAGTAATTTATATATTCCAGGCCAGCCCAACCCAGCCAGATGGACCCCCGACGGCCCCCGATTTCTCGGAACAACAGGTTGCTTGTTTGCTTGTGCCTATGAGGTTCCATGGAGGAAGATATAGACGGATACTTGATCGATACCTTAAGCAGGTACCCTTACACGCCCCGCTTGATCGGCAGGGTTTATATGCCAGCTGAGCTGTCACGCCAACACGTCGACCAGCAAAAAGCAGATCCGCTCTTGGTCCATGGTATCAAGGTAAACCACGCAATATCACTATGCGTCGTGCCTGTTTGTCGTGTAAGTAAGCTTGATGGTGGCCTTTTTTGGGTCACAGCAACTGACGCTTTGGGCAGCGAACACTGAATTCTAGACTGGGTCGGAGTGCCTAGCTTAAACGCACATCTTGACTTTCGGCCGAGGCTCGTCTTACCACCAGCGTGCTAAGTAGATTCTGTTCGATTGCCATCGTATCTCCGACATGGTAGATTCGCATTGAGAGAAGCAATGGCAATGTGTTCCTCGCATGCGGCATGACTGGGGGTCAAGGTTGAACATGTTCGTTTATGCGTTACTTGAGACGCCTAACCATGCAAACCCAAACACGCGATTTACGTTTCCACCTCGAGAAGACTTCTAACAATTGATGCCATGGATGCTTACCTGGCAGGATAACGAGAACGTAATCTGATTTGATATTTTGGCGCTGGTGATCGGCGAGAGAAACGCCGATTTTGACCTGGCATTTCTATTGGGTGGGTGTTGGAGTGAGGTCAGTTGTCCACTTTGAGATCGAGATCACGCTCGTCACTTCAGACGGAGATAGTGAAAAGTAGAATCCATACCTTACTATGAGAAGAGTCTTTTTACGAAGAGCGTGTGAGATTGTTTTAGAGCTCATATTACTATACTTCATCCCCTCTCTGTTCCTGCAGCTACTCTGGAGCATATGACCGTCAGTCAAGCCAAGAGCTACAGTCCAAACATCAGACACATCTAACAAGAACAGTCGAAACTGCCGGCGTGCCCTTTGTTTCTTGGCTGAGGGATCCAGACCCAGATCCAGTTTCCCGCCGGACGCCACACACAGACACCCGCCTCGCTTCGTCTCGCCTCACCTCCGGACCTGACGCAGGTCATCACCGCCTCAAGTGAGACTCGACAACGCAGGCGGCAATACACCACTGTGTACACCACAGCCAAGTGGAGCTTGCGCCCCCCAGTTGGTGCCGTTCATCACCGAGGTGCTGAGGTGCACAACTTGCGTCGCCGACTTTGTGGTCACACAACTCTGCGTTTCTCCCTCTTCAGTGTTAAGCGCTGAGACTTCCATATCACCAAGCTCCTCGTCTACCTCACCCTACACAAGTATTTAAGGTGTTGAACAGCACTAGAACTCAGACCATGTTAAGCTATTGCAATCCCTCCTATATAGGATCGTAGGGTAGTGAGGACAAGAGTGAGATGCTCAGGCCAGGGCAGACAAGCAAAGAAAGGCCCCATAACGGAGAGCAGGTAAGCGCCCGCTAAAAACGACGGGACCCTGTGAATCGTTCCCGCCGCTTTCGCTTTTTACCTCCCCGCCAGCTTGCCCTTCCCCCTCCAACCCGGCCAACTCTGGCCTCTGCTTCCCCCGTGCCCCCCCCCCCCCCCCCCCCCCCCTCCCCCTCCTAGGCTGCTGCGGAGACACTGACCAAACGAGCCAGCACCAAGCGGGCAGCATTTCGCATCGCTCTTCCACAACTTCAACTCTCTTTCTCTCTGCCGCCTACCTTCTTTACCTTACCTTGTTCACACAACACCTACAACCTCTTCTCCCTTTCCTGACGACATCACAGCCTTTGCCATCACGTCTGGCAAACTCCAAACTGCATCCTCGACGTCTCTGTTTAACCATCAACATCCTGCTCCAACCACGTCGTTCCGGCACTCCGAATCGCTGGGTACGTCACTCTGGTGAGTTACCACTGCTGCTTCTTACCTTCTGGTTTCCCCCTCCACCATCATTCAGCCAACCTACGTCACTTGTCACCCCCAGACCACCTGAACACACAAACATCATACATGCCGCTATTGATATCTGCTTTCTCCCGTATCTTCATCAAAACCTCTCTTTTGGGGCATGCGCGTAGCAATTTCTGGGCGTCCGGTTGCGCTTCGAGACTTGCAGAGCACGTACCGGCGCCATCTTGATATCCGACGTCAGTCACATAGCGACCAGCTGGCGGCGCACTTGGTCACCATACCGCCTGCCGCTCAGAGACCAGTGTCTCTTCCTCTCTTAGCTCTTTTCTTCCTATGCATCAATCCTCTTCAGCTCGGACCCGACCCTCTACCTAGCCCCCGGTCGGCCTCGGACCATTCTGCCCCTCCATGGGCCCGACGACCGTTCCCTTCAACTACTTCGCCCAATACTGACGATACCATTATCAGACATCCATCTTCGCGACATTCCTTTTCCGACGTCCAAATCGAATCCAACGAAGACAGCTTTACTGTGAACCCATCGAATTCGATTGACTCTGCGTGCGGACCGGTACCTTTGACGTCTTTTCGAGGTTCTTTAAACTGGCAGGAAGCAAGCGTCGCAGCCTCTCCAACCAGGGGAGTGGTCTGCTGACTAGAATGTTCGGCGGCGGCTCTAACTCAGCTGTGTCCAAGGCGGAGAGCGACCCGAAAGAGGACCGCAAGTCGCCTTCGCCCGA